TATATAAACCATTGTGCAAAATATTATTTCAATCTGTGAGGAATATGTCATCTGTCAGGCTATTCCATTTTGGACACCATCTTCCTGTCTCCAGGCAGACATACTATTTCACAGGGGAATGCATCACATTAAAACTAGAACTAAAACTGCAATTTTGAGATTGCTTGATTACATACATATGGAAGAGCCCATCTGAATTTCATATCCATCCATGCATAAATATAGCTACTGCATATATGTGCTGTTAAGTAGATGAATTGGTTTCACAGAGAGATATCCATTTCTTGATCATGCAAGGTAACCTCACACAGACATGCAGTACCTATTTTCTTGCCCCCAGATTTGAACTTGAAAAGCATGATTGGAGTATTGGAAAGGAAATCAGTTACCCACTAGGGGAGAGTGGTTATGTAAGCTTTCAGAATACTTAGAATTAGCCAAATTGACAGACATAATAAGACAAAAACCAAAAGGTGAAGTAAAAAAAGAATGGGAGTGCCTGAATGAATACCTCAAAAGCCAAGGTTCGAGGACAGAAATCTGGCTGAGTCTGGAATAACCTTGTGAAGTGAAAGGATATGAAAGAAGGATTTATATCTAAATGTTAAGATAGAGATGATAAGGAAAACAGGAAGACACAACGAGAGATAAAGGAGTTGCTGTGGGATTGGTGGAAGTCAATGTTTGTTGTTGTTTTTATAGTGTTTATATTATTAACTTGTAAGATATGGATTTGTTTTTTTGTTTTTGTTTTTTGTTGTTGCTTTTTTAGTTTTTCGAATGTTGGTTTTTGTGTGTTGTGTATTGTTATTTTTAGATATTTTTCATGGTGTTGTTGTGTGGAAAATACTAATAAAATTTATTTAATAAAAGAAAATTTTAAAAAAGAAAATCATGATTGGGGAGAAGCATGGATAAGTGACTCCCTATAGTGGAATGTTTATGATGATTCTAGTTGTAGTTCCCCAGGTAGGATTCCAGAAGACAATCTGGCAGACTTATCCATCTTTGTTATTGTCCTAGACTAACAGGACATAGACCCCTTTGGGATGAATAAATCATTTATCTTTTTATTTATAGGAATGTTTATAGATAGCTTCTTCCTAAAACATGCCGTTGGTGAGCAAAATATATAACAAGTACATTAAAACAATGCCCAAAGTGTGTCAGTTTTTTTCATTGTACCAGTGTGGGTCACAGGCAAAACAATAATTCATTTGACAAGAGGGGCTACTGTGGCTTATCAGTTGAAGTGTGATGAGTCTCTTCTTTAGGAAAAGGCAGAGGGGAATTAGATACTTCCACCAATCAGGTTGCCTTCTGATTACAGGATATTGTAGAAGATGCTTTGTTAGCCCCTCTCAGTATATTTTCATAATACATATGTTATGGTGGTTCTAGCATGCACCGGGTAAACTGTTGCATTATCATCATTTAAGTCCGTTTGTATCCTGAAGTATGAAACCAAACTGGTCAAAAGTCTTTCTCTGGAAGCTTTTGCAAGTGGGGTGAAGGATATGAACTCCACCAAACCACTTGTTGTCTATGGTTTGAAATAATCCTACATACAAGTGAGCGAGAGAAGATAGCCATCCCTGTTACAGGCAGACCTGTGGCCAGAGTTTTATTGAAAGAAATTTAAGAGTTCTTGCAGAAAAAACAGTGGAAGTATCTTTATAGGGAGCCTCTCTGCCCATTATGTCTCTCTTGCCTATAACAAAAATATTAAAATATAAAACCCAAGCAAGAGAAAGAAACAGAGAAATGAACACACCACTAGCTTTTGTCTGCCACTCTTCATCACAACAGCTATCCTCTTGCTAATTTCTGTTGCCTGCTTTCCAATTCGTAAAACGAGAAATGACACAGCTCAGTCCTAACAGAGAGGACATAATCTCAGCTACAAGCTGACTCTCTAGATTTATAGTCAATGGATAATCCTAGATTTATAGTCAATGGATAGGGTTATTAATTGGTGAAGCCTGCAGGTACAGGAAAACAGAGTACCAGCTAATTCATGCTATGGGAACTATAAAGCCCTGACATGGAAAAGAAGTTCCAGGGCTGGGGTCTTGGTGTCTGGCCAGCTTAGTTTAGATGAAGCCTAAACTACCATCTGTAGTACATACCATTGTCTGACTCCTGTTCCTGCAAAGGAGATATATACCAGGCTTTCAGCTGTGTATATGGTACAGATGTGGGTCTGATGCCACATCATAATGCTCATTTAGGCCCCTTTGAACCAGCTAGCTGCATCTTCCATCTTGATGTGGTTGTACATCCCAGCCCAGAGCTAACGGTTGCCTCAAGTGGATAGTTGCTCATGACAAGAGATGAATACAAGCCACTTTCATTGGACTGTATTTTTAAAAGCAAAGGCAGGCTAATTTTCATGTAAAACCCCACCTGGATTCCCCTCCCCCGGTTTGCTTATTCCTCTCTTTGTGCACCAAAATGCTTCCGAAATGTTGTGCTTCAGCTAGCTTTCCATGCCATCCTTCATCCCACTTGACCTTCTTCATCTGATGCGAAGCAATCACTTGAATTTGTCCCCTGAGAGATTTGCTTTCTAACTGAACATATATTGCATAGGGCCTGTAGAGGACTCCTTGGCGCATTGTCAGGAAGCCAGCCTGGGACCTATGCCTTCACAAGGCCAGCCCACATTGTCATGTATTCAATGGAGGGCCTTCTGGCGGTTCTCCCACTGCGAGAAGCAAACGATTACAACTACCCTGTGATGTTCAGATGTATACTTTTAATACATAGTAATAATGCATTAAATCCACATCGCTAGAGCTATCAGCTGCAGTCATTCATGTGCACCAGTGTGACTGTTGCTTAGCAACAGCAACTTACTACTACAGTGAGATCATGTGATCTGGAATTTAATCACTGGCAGGAAGTGTAGTAGATTCCATTTTAGGTCAGACAGGTTAATCTCTCAAATCCCAGTATTAATCCTCTTGCTGGCTGAAGCACATATGACACATATCTTTTTAACCCTTACGTTCATTGTATTGTTTTCCAATTCCCTCCCCGCTGTATTGTATTTGGAAATGTGTGGGTGGGAGAAGTGCAGGACTTAGGACTGGCCTACCCATGAGGCAAGATGAGGAAACTGCTTCAGGCGACAGGATCCACAGGGGCAGCACATCTGGCCTCCAAGGAATGCCTCAGCAGCTTCTGCTTCCTTTGCTGCGAGGGTAGCCGCAGCTTCAGCATACTCCTTGGAGGCTGGCTCTGTCCCCTTCTTCTGCCTCTCCAGCTGCCTCTTGGCGAATAGGAGGTTCTGCTGGTACCCTTCCACTCTTGGTCCTGATGTAGATTTTCATTTACCCCTTCTTCCCTGGTCGGTGGTGGTGGGAGAGGCCATTTTGTGGTCCGCTTCAGGTGCCAAAATCTCTTGGGCTTGCACTGGCAGGACTTCTTTCTTTTTTTTATGACTTGAGGGTACTCAATACATCTCATGTGTGCCATAGACATGGGAGATGAATGTTACTCTCAGATTATGGATGAAGATGAGGGTGGAAAAGGTTTTTCTCTCTGGGCAGTGCTTATCAAACACAAAAGCAAGAGCAGATTGGTTTTGCAGTATGTGTTAACTTAAAGCTACCACAGGTGTTTATCATTTTGTATTAAGGCTGTTAAGGTGCCACACCTTACTTGTACGGTAGTTGTCTCCTAGAACGTTTCATTTTTCAGATACTACCACTGAAATATTTGGAAGGAATTTTGTGCTGAAAGCAGAAGTTTCAATGGGATTAATTAAGTCAGAATGAATGTCACACTATATCTAAAATTTTGAAGAAGCAGAAGATTTATTTAATATGGTCTTTGAGTGTTTAGTTATAGGAGTTGCATTTTCTTTTCAGTCTGTCCCTTAAAATCAGAGATATCAGTTTTAGAGCTGAATTTAGAGCTTCATGTAGTTTTTCATTAGATGACAAATAACATGAGGGGAAATGTAAATCACACAACTTTGCAAAACACATAGTCAGGAGTGGGTTATGTCTGCCCAACTTGTTTATTTTATTTATCTAAATCCTTATCTGCACTGTTTGGGACAAAGCCAAACAAATTATAAAATTGTGGTTATTGAGCAGGTGAGAAATTCATCAGCTGACATGAAGCAGTTATTGGAGGGATGCAGTAATCATACTGCTAAAATATATATTAAAAATAAAAAAATGTCCAGTAGTACCTTAGAGACCAACTAAGTTTGTTCTTGGTATAAGCTTTCATGTGCATGCATACTTCTTCAGATACACTGAAACGGAAGTCACCAGGCCTTATATATAGTGGGAGGGTGGGGTGGGATTTTTCTCAGGCGGGTAGTAGGAGATGGGTGGTAAACCTGTTGACAACTGTTAATGACTGCAATTAGTCCTACAGGAAAAAGCAATGGATAGTATGTAATGAGACGGGGATTTAATATCTCTATTAAGACCAGGTCTCTCCATAGTTTTCAGTTTAGTGATAAGTTGTAATTCAGCAACTTCTCTTTCAAGTCTGTTTCTGAAATTCTTTTGTAATAAAACAGCTGCTTTGAGATCCTGTACTGAGTGTCCTGGAGATTGAAGTGTTCTCCTACTGGTTTCTGTGTCTTGTGATTCCTGATGTCAGATTTATGTCCATTTATCCTTTGGGGTAGGGTTTGGCCTGTTTGTCTAATATAGAGAGCTGAAGGGCACTGCTGGCATTTGATGGCATACACAATGTTAGAAGATGGGCAATTAAATAGGCCTGAGATGGTATGTTTGATGTTGTTGGGTCCGGTGATGGTGTTGTCTGGGTGTATGTGGCAGCAAAGTTGGCATCTGGGTTTATTGTAGGCTCTGGTGCCAGTGTCCGTGCTAAAGTAATTTGTAAACTTTAAAAGGAGAATGTGGATGTGCTCAGCTGGGCTACTCTCCCCTTTAAAACATGTGAACAGGATGTTTTCACTATTTGTGATGTGATTCTATCTGGCTATTTAATCTTTTTTCATTCTTTCACAGATTAAAGAATGGCTTTGTTTAAACTGCCAGATGCAGAGAGCTTTAGGTGGCGATTTGGCTCCAAGTCCTGGCCCTGGACCCCAGCCCTCTGCACCCAAGCAAAAGATGCCTGCTCCAACTGCAGCAAGCAAACCGGTTTCCCAGCCACAGCAATCGATACAGAAGAAAGATGTTCCTCTAAAACCTGATGTTACCCAGTCACCTGAACACAAAAAGCCACCAACACAAATAAAGCAGCCAACCGTGCCCAGTTCTCCTCCTGCAAAACCAAAACTTCCCTCTGCTGAAACTCAGCCAACAGAACTGGCCCCCAAATCTGACCAGGCCAAGCAGCCATTGGTTGAAGACAAACAGAAGCAAGCTAGTACTCAGAAACCCACAAGCGATACTGTGCCTATACCACCATCAGATACCAAACAAGATTCACCCGGCCCGAAAGCCACACTCGCTCAACAGAAAGTGGCACAGACTCAGAGATCGGAGCCTGCTAAGTCGTCTCAAGACACACCTCCGTCTGTAGATAAAGCTGCTCCTCCAGATTCCAAAACTTCGTCTCAAGTGTCTCGTCAGAAGTCGGATCCCAAACTTGTTCCTCAGCCTCAACCTGGGTTGGATTCTAAGGCTCAGAAGGTAGGCGAACCAGGTGAGGTGAAAGAAGACCCTAAGAAAAGGCAACCCCAGGCGGCTCCTAAGCCAGACGCCAAGCAGGCTCCCAAAGGGCAACAAGGCACCACAGGGCCCAAACCCACCCAGGCTCAGCCACAAGCTCAGCAGCCTCCCAAAGCCCCAGAGCAATCTAGATTATTCAGTCTTAACATAGGAGGCATCACAGATGCTCCCAAACCTCAGCCAACAACCCCTCAAGAAAGAGTCACCGGGAAGCTCTTTGGATTTGGTGCTTCAATTTTCAACCAGGCTTCCAATTTAATCTCTACAGCAGGCCAGCCCGGAGCTCAACCACAGGGTCCTCCATCTGGGTCCCCCTCAAAGCAGCCGCCTCCTGCAGCACAGCCTCCTGCCCCACAAAAAGATACCCGTCAATCCCAGCCATCTCCCAAAGCAACACCTGTGAAGAAAGAAACAAGGCCTCCTGTGGCAGAAAAACCAGAGCCGCCCAAAGCTGATGGCGGCTCCGCCGTTAAGGAAACAGACGCTGGGAAGAAGGCTTTGCCTGCCAAAGACATCAAGCCTCCAGCTGTTGAAGCTAAGCAAAGTGCCGAGGCACCAAAAACGGAGCCTCCTTCGCAGCCAGCGTCTTCTTGTCCTCTCTGTAAAACTGAGCTAAATGTTGGTTCTAAGGATCCTCCCAACTATAATACGTGTACTGAATGCCATAACATCGTGTGCAATCTCTGTGGATTTAACCCAATGCCGCACATAACTGAGGTAGGCAACATTTTATTTTGCATTAATATTTTTGTGAACCACTGTTTTGTAAGCCTTGAATACAGAAGAACATTTGATCAGTCTTCCTGGGAGTAAGCGCCATTCAGTACAGTGTAGAATGTTTCCAAGTAGGCATGCATACCATTGCACTGCAAGTATGTGGGTTTGCTAGCCATTCTTTTTGTGTGTTTGCTTTTTTATATACAGTTTTTAATATCTATATGCGATTTCACTGTGAAGTTTGAACAAGTGTGTAAATGCAGAGGAGAAAAAGGCTATGTTTAGGGACTATATTATCTTCTGCAATTTGCTCTGTGGATATTTCTGCCAGGCTGGGATGGCAAGAGTGTTTGCTTTAGATTCACTTACCACAAGACTGGGTGACGGATGCCTGAAGTTTATTTACTTACTTGTCTGATGTCTTTCCAATTTCAGCATAGTGCTTGAGAGCCAGTGTGGTGTAGTGGTTAAGAGCGGTAGACTCGTAATCTGGGGAACCGGGTTCGCGTCTCCGCTCCTCCACATGCAGCTGCTGGGTGACCTTGGGCCAGTCACGCTTCTCTGAAGTCTCTCAGCCCCACTCACCACACAGAGTGTTTGTTGTGGGGGAGGAAGGAAAAGGAGAATGTTAGCCGCTTTGAGACTCCTTCGGGTAGTGATAAAGCGGGATATCAAATCCAAACTCTCTTCTTGAAAAAGTGACATGTAGAACAGCTTCCTATGTTTTTCCCCTTCTTGCATTTTGCATCTTACTTTCTGTGTTTGGGAAATGTTGTAGATGGTAAGCAAAATACCATCTTGTAAAATGAACTTCCTGCTTCCAACTGAGGAAGTTTTTTGTTTTGTTTTTAAGAATAAATTCAATACATCTTTCCTAGATTTTGAAGCTAAATATGACTGGCAGCTTTGCAGCTACTATTGGTAGAAGCCAATTTGAAAGTCCCCTTTTGGTCTTGCAGCCCCTTAACACTATCCTGTTTTTCTTCTGCTAATTCTGGTTTGATCTCTTTGGCTTTGTCATTGTCCTGGTTTGGGTTGACCATTGAGTAGCTGAATATGTTTAATTTAAATCTTGTGGGATTTGTTTTGCAGAACGTTGGTTGATCTTTGATTACATATGGTTTGGGATGGTTTGTGAAACACCCAAAGACTTTGGCACAGAAGTGTGTGAGCTCTGAGTTAGAAGATATTATGCCTTAAACAGTAGAGCATGTACCCTTTCTTTCATCAGCTAGTTTAGAGCCACTGTACCCATTACCTGGAAGCAAAGAAACAGGAACAACAGCTGACTTCTTCAGCACATCCTTCCGTAAGCCTAAGGCTGGCACATGAGAGAGAACAAAGATGTATTATTCTCACCAGTGAGATGTCATTGTCCATTTGTAGCAGGCCGGGAATCTTTTCAACTTGAAACAACCTAGAATCATAGAGTTGGAATAGACCACAAGGGCCATTGAGTCCAACCCCCTGCCAAGCAGGAAACACCACCAGAGCACTCCTGACATATGGTTGTCAAGCCTCTGCTTAAAGACCTCCAAAGAAGGAGACTCCACCACACTCCTTGGCAGCAAATTCCACTGTCAAACAGCTCTTACTGTCAGGAAGTTCTTCCTAATGTTTAGGTGGAATCTTCTTTCTTGTAGTTTGGATCCATTGCTCCATGTCCGCTTCTCTGGAGCAGCAGAAAACAACCTTTCTCCCTCCTCTATATGACATCCTTTTATATATTTGAACATGGCTATCATATCACCCCTTAACCTCCTCTTCTCCAGGCTAAACATGCCCAGCTCCCTTAGCCGTTCCTCATAAGGCATCGTTTCCAGGCCTTTGACCATTTTGGTTGCCCTCCTCTGGACACGTTCCAGTATGTCAGTGTCCTTCTTGAACTGTGGTGCCCAGAACTGGACACAGTACTCCAGGTGAGGTCTGACCAGAGCAGAATACAGAAAACCTCTATGAAGAGAAACAGAAAAAGATTCTGAGCTGATGTAAAACACAAATGTTGATTTACATGTCAGCTCAGAGCCTATTGTTTAGTGGCTTCCATAGAAAATAAGAGGTTTTGGTTTCTGATTAACCCAACCATCTGATTTATATTTACCTTAATGCCAGGTTCTCTAAAAAGTAAACAGCTGACGATTTAATAAATGAGAATTTATAGATTTCAAAGGCCCATAGGGTCATACGTACTCTGATGGATTATCATGAATCTTAGCCAATGTTCTTACCCAATGATTCGCCCAGCGGGGAGGAGCACTGTTTACTAACTCCTTAATTAGCCATCCTGTGGACTTGCAGTGAAGGTAGTTCTATTTTTAGTACACGTGGAAGGAGAAAACACAGGAGCTGCAGATGCTCACAAATAAGCACCGCAGCAGTGACCATTTTGTGCAGTGATGCCAATGGAAACCTAAAGAATATTGACTTCATTTGGTTTATAAGTTGATTAATTTCAGTTTGGGGTTTGGAGGGTTGGGTTCCCTGCGGGGAAGATGTTTGAACATGCATTCTAGTTGCGGCTGTTGTTGCTGATGACCGTGATGATGATAAGAATCATATTAAGGGGAAATTGCACAATAAAAACTAAAGGGGAAATCTAACCATCGGTAGATTACAGGGATAGGAAAAATCTAATTTGCCTGTGACGGGTTGGTGAGGAGATGTTTTATTCCTTAAAACAAAACCTAGCTAACAAAGTGCCCCACAGACCATGGATGTAGTGCAGGGCATGATCCAGAGGGCATAATCCAAGGATTAGTTTAAAAGGATGCAATCTCAAGAACCCTTCCTCAGGCTTCCAGTGCAAGTAAAGAACCCAAGTCATAATTGACGTGAGTTGAGCTGGCACTGCTGTTAGCTGCTGGGTTCATGCTTCTGCCTTTAGGCCACAGAAGAAGCTGGAGTGGAGGTGGTGAGGCTGGCATGATCACATATTTACGATTACATATATATTTATACCCCGCCTTATTCAGGGGGGGCTTACAGGTAAAATGAGAACAGCAAAAACATTGGGGGGAAACTAATAATTAAAAAACAAGTAATCAGTACAATTGTTCATCTCCTTATCTATGATCAATTAAACACAATCTGATTTTAATTTGCAGGCAGCCCCCCACTTACACGCATCCAGTTTTTGTGTGACCAAGTATCTGTACAGTATGCTGAGCCCAGAAGTGACCTGGAAACATCATAAAGATGTTCCTAAAACATCACTGAAAGGGCGGAATGGGGGCGAGGCAGGATGTTTGCAGGCTTTTTCAATGGGTTTCAATTATATGTGATTTTTCTGACTCGTGCAGTGCCTCAGAACATAACCCCCGTGTAAACAGTGGGCAGCCTGTATCGCATCTGCCATGGATGTTTTAGTAGAGATTCCTGCATTGCAGAGGTTTCCTTCCAACTCTACAAGCCTACGATTCTCTGATTCTATGATGTTATATGAACTGTTTTGAGAGGTGCATTCTTGTGCAAGCGTGATACTTATATAGTAATTAGGAACTGGCTGTTCACTTTCAGAAATTTAACTTTCAAATGAGAAAATGTGCTCTCCTCAGAGTGAAAACACAATTTAGTCCAAAACTAATGTGAATTTCAGTGACCTGTGTCACAGGGCCACTTGGATTACAATCAAGCCAAATGAAAGGAAGTTGTCTTTGTTCTGACTTGGACAGGCGGATGGCAAAGTCACAGTGGGCTGCCTTGTTTGCCTTGTGAAATCATTATAGTGGTGTGGTGGACTTGCAAAAGGGACATCGAGACTTGGTGCTCAGCTGTGAAGCTGGCTTGGTCGCTTTGGGCAACTCATCACCTCCTGGAATTTTGAAGGGAGAGGCAGCTGATTTGGTACGAGCAGACTTGTCTCATTATGTATAGGAATTATTTGCCCATCTGAGATCTGCTTTGAGATCTCAGATCGGCAAATGATGAGTGTATTTGAAAGAAGGAAATCTTGGACTTTTGACTTGGAAGAAAAATATTATTAACACCATTTTGTTCTGGCACTGTTACATAAGAAATATAATCTTTGGAATTGTCTGTGTAGCTCCGCCATCTGTCTGGGGAAAACTGTTCTTATTGTTGTGTGGGGGGTAAGGATTTCCTAAAGACATCCAGTTGTTACGGTTTTGAAGTATTATTTATTAAAAAGGTAAAGGACCCCTGACAGTTAAGTCCAGTTGCAAACATCTCTGGGGTTGCGGCGCTCATCTCACTTTAGTGGCCGAGGGAGCCGACGTTTGTCTGCAGCCAGTTTTTCCAGGTCATGTGGCCAGCATGACTAAGCCGCTTCTGTAGAAACCAGAGCAGTGCATGGAAACGCCGTTTACTTTCCCGCCGGAGTGGTACCTATTTATCTACTTGCACTTTTTGACGTGCTTGAGCTGCTAGGTTGGCAGGAGCAGGGACCGAGCAACGGGAGCTCACTCCGTTGTGGGGATTCGAACCGCCGGCCTTCCGATTGGCAAGCCCTAGGCTCAGTGGTTTAGACCACAGTGCCACCCACGTCCCCTATTGATCAATTCACAGGGTTTTTCTTTTTTAAAAAAGAAACGAAAACAATCCTCAAATATAGTATTGAAGTACATTGCTTTCTAGTAAAAAAAAAAGTTATGGTAATCATTAATCACATTTTAAAGGTTGAGTTGGATGTGGCTGTTGTATTCTCTAGTCTTTTTAGGTCAGGACTCAGTGCACCATATGCTGGTCTTCTGTTTTAGTTTTGTTTAGTTCCTGGCACTGTGTGTGTCTTTTTAATGCGGCTATTTGTTTGGAATTAATCTAGTTATTGTGCCAAACGAAAGGATAAACTGAATGTATATAAGGCATGTTTAAAGAAATAAATCGGGGGGAAGGATTACAGAATTTAAAAGATTTCCTGGTTCAAATTCCTCTTTGGAATTAGTGAAAATAGTTAAATTGAGACCCGATCTCAAAGATGTAAGCACTGTTATACCATGAAAATTATTTTTTGCTGCTGGCCCCAATATCGAAGGGAGGAGAAT